GAGAATTTAGCAAAGGCAGAGTCCAGGGAAAAACATCAATTAAATTCGTGTGGTGCAGATGAGTAAAGAGAGACCAAAACAATCTCTCTATTGCGACTATCATTGCACATCACTTCGCCTAATAGCCTACATGTTCTGGTAGATTTAACTACCTATAAATAGATGGAAGTTTGACCCGTGTCAAAGGTTGGGGGTGGCTGACGATTCGGGGGGTGGCTGCGGGTTGACGAAAGGGAAAAGCGCGACGGAGATACTCGATCAAATTTCTCCCCGCACGAGAATCGAACTCATATCTTCTGCGTGTGTCGGCACATCGCTTTTGCCAATCTTTTTAAAGCCAACGCACACCTTTGCCATCTTTGAACATTTTCGCACCGCCCACCCCTATTTCAAAGGGGGGCATTAATATAATACCAGTCACTACCCAGGTTATTCCCAAACGGTACCAAAATGACCCGGTAGCCTTCTAGTGGACAATATCGCCTTGGTTGCCAAGTACTAATTCAGATGGCTGTGCGAGTCCCGTGGCTCTCTGTCCTTTTTACATGGTCAAATCGTAGATATGATGAAGTTTGCTTGTTCAGGAGGCTCCGCTTCTTTAAAATTAAATGATCGTACAGTTTTGATTCATTGAAGACGTGGATTTTAAATACTTGGAGACGCGCTGTTTACTTTTAAAAAGACGCCTAGCCTTGTTATTTCCTTCACCCGAAACTTTAAAAAATTGAAAACAAACACAAAAAAACAACAACAAACAAACAAACACCCTCTTAAAAAAAACCCAAAATACTGGTAACAGCATGCATACTATGAATTATTCGATTCTCAATAAAATTTGTATAACTTGTTTCATCAATGTGATGCAACGTTGCCTTTGGTCATATTCTGGTCGGACTTGAGTGTCCACCACGTCCTTAAAAAGTTAAAAGCGGTGATAAACCAAAACTATACCAGACTCCATCTCGTTAAAGCGTGTCCACGGCGAGTGAAATAAAACTGAAGGTGTTTTACGCCCTCATTCACACAATCTAGGAGATGGACTCCTTCGACGCTGACTGTTACAGCCAACCCAATCTGAGAGGGATACAGCGTCCCTGCAGAAAGACAGAGACTTTAAAAACTGTCCGCACGGGAATCAAACCGTCTGCTACACTAGAGACACCGGTGAGCCCTCGGTGTACGAGAGGGCAAAGGGCAACGGGTAATGTGTGCCCAGGCCCACAGCTTTTTTCAGTTTTTTTTACAGTGTTGAAACTAAATTTCCACCTACTTTGTATACCATTGACAGGGTTCTGGTCCCGACAACGAAATGGCCCCTGGCTACCTCTCTGATGTAGCCACATTGAGCAGCTCAGACGATGAGAGTGGGATCGACGCGCCTCCAAGGAAAGATGGCTTCTTTGGGCGTTGCCAGGCAACAGTCTCCTGCCTCAGTCACGTGATAGGCTTGGGGAATGTGGTTCGGTTTCCATATTTGGCTTATCAGCATGACGGTGGTGAGTATGGAAGAAGATACAGATCATTAGATGTAGATAATTATATAATAAAGGGGTGTATCAAATTGAAATAGAAAGAAAATGAAGCAGAGGGTATACCTGGGAATGACTTTTTCAGAGAACTGGAGCAGAAGTGTGACAGATTAAGCTAGTTTTGGAGAGCATCCAAGCAGAGAAATGAGTGGTTAAGCATGATTGCCCATGTCTATTTCGTATATTTAGGAATTCCAGAAAATGCAGTGTTTTGGTTGTTTTTTTAGCTGGCCCGATTTCGACGGTTATGTCTTCTAATACTTCACCAGGAAACCTTGAATAACCGCTTCAAGATAGTGAAACATAAGAAATAGACGCGAAACCGCACATTTGTCGATTTCAGACAAGATAGAGACATTGCCAGTACACTGCCTAAGTTTATCATACACATCAAAAGGCCTACACTCAGTGTATTGTGACACTAAGAACGCCAATGTACCTAGGTCGAGCAACGTGCGGTGGGTCATTGTCTATTTCTCTGCAAAACTAGATCAAATACTCATGAGCATGAGTACGGCACGTGATGTGTTTCATGACGTCATTGGCATTGGGCTTACTTGATACTTTTATCACTAATACCATTATAACATCGGGCGCAAATGTCTGAATTCAGTGTGTTGGCGAATGAGGTCATGGGTTGCGTCAAAGTAGAACAAAACTGGCACAAATTTCCGTTCCTACCGATGGAACAAAACAAAAAGCGAGGACATTATTTCTGGTTTAAATGGAAGCTACAGACTCCTAAACGGAAAGTGTGTCGTTTCGAGCAAAAGCAACATAATCTTCTTCTGCATGGAAAGTTACTATTTCCTTCAGAAACAAGATGAAACTTGTTTTGTCCAGTATGATGAACGTTGGTCTTGATTTGTACTGTAGAATGGCGAAATGCTCTTCTTTTTGCGTACTTTTAAAATTAACATCAAGGCAGGCAAAACGTAAAAATCCTGACCTTAGGTACAAGACACAGTTGGCAATCATTGGAAATTCAGCGTGTTGCTGTCGCCCTCCTGTCCTTTTGTCCTTTTTGCGGGTTGATTCTTTCTTCTTCCTTTCTTACTTCCTTCTTATCTTTTTCTATTCTTTACTGTTCGCTTTTTCTTCTTTCCTTTATTTTGTGTTTTTTTGGGCTTTCTTTCTATATCTTTCTCACACATTAATTTATTTATCTCTTTTTAACCTTTTTTTCTTTCATTTTACTTTTTTTAAAATCTGTTCCCCCTTTTCATTTTTGATATAATATACTCCCATCCCCGCCTGTTTTTCTACCTTGAGAACACTCAATAGTTGTGTTCCAACACAAGATTGGCGGTTGCTGGAAGGCGCAACTGGTAGGTCCTTCTTTTCTTCTTTCTCCCATTATTTCTGTCTGTCTTGATTTTTTTCCTCATTACTAAACCTGTGGGTATTTTGTTCATCCATCAACGATAACACCTAGTTAATATACAGTACCTTTGACTCCACCCCACCCCCACCCCCACTCCACATCCCTTTGTGCTCAGGAGCGTTTGTTCTAGCCTACGTCATAGTTTTGTTGACGTGTGGACTTCCTCTGTTTATCATCGAGACGGCTGTGGGCCAGTTTTCCAACCTGGGAACCATCAGTGTGTGGAGGGCGGTGCCGCTGTTTAAAGGTAAGTCAGGGTCATACAGGAAGATATACACAACTTTTCCCATATAGGACGATGCCTACAACTATTTGAAGCTCATCAGAGATTAAAAAGTAGAATTTCTTTTTTGTTGTTGCGAAATTGTATAGATTTAACGCCCCTTTCAACACTATAAGGTTGTTTAAGAGGCTGGGGTTCAAGACTAGTTTTTAAAGACTTCTCTTGCGGATGATTGTTTTTCCTTAGAGTATTCATTTATTTTCACTTTATTTTAGATGTAATTGACTGCGTCAAACTTTTAAATTTAAGCTTAGAAAAATCCTATACAAAGCTTTAAGGGCAGCCTCTGTCTCACACTAAAAACATTGTCAATAGGGAAGGAACTCTGAAATTCCTTGGTAAGAGGTCTTTGAAGATCATTAGCAGTAAACAAAAAGAAAAATGTATACATTCCAAATTTTATTATTTGGAGCGAACATGAGTTATCTGCACAAGGCTTCTAGATACCGATGTCTTCCAGAACAACAGACACACATAAGAGTGCTCCTAACCTGCACTTTAAACTGGCTGGCCATGCATTTTGAGACCCGTAAAGTTCTCTTAACATCTCAGCGGAGTCTGTCTGGGTCCCGGGAATAATAACTTCCGTAATCCCCTCACGTGAGTGGCAGGTTCGTGCATTGTGTGTGAGCACTAATAGCGGCTCCCAGACAAACATGTCGTGCTTGTTTTGACATCGAGTTGTCGGTGTACAGAGGTTTGGAAGTGTAGATACACGAGGGGTTATTACTTACTTTTCCTTTTTCCTTTTTCATCCTCTGTTGCCGTTAAGCGTCGAGGGGAGATGCAGTTTTCTATGGTAGGCCAGCTCCGCAGCTCTTTCAGTTGTGATGTTATGTTTTCTTAGGGTTTCCTTGACACCCTCGATCCAACTTTTGCGTGGCCTTCCCACGATGGGTTATTGGATTACAGAAATGATATTGATATTGCAGACCAATCTCGCGCCTCCCTTCCAAACACAAAAATAATATACATAATAACATGCATGTACGCTAACATGTGCTAGTATAATTTATACTTAACACATTGTCATGTTGAGAAAGAAAGCAGGAAAGAAAGACACACACACACAAAGAAACACGCACACACAAACACAGACAGAGATATTTGTGGAGAAAGAAAGAGAGAGAGAGAGAGAGAGAGAGAGAGAGAGAGAGAGAGAGAGAGAGAGAGGGAGAGAGAGAAATTGAAAGTCCACTTAATTTTGGCATAGTTAAAACCATTGATCATTGCCCCTCTTGCACCCCCCCCCCTCCACCCTCACCAAATCCTAACCCTTACAGGAATCGGATTCTCCATGGTTCTCATTTCCGTTGTGACGTCCATCTACTATGGTGTGATGACGTCATGGGCAGTGTACTATCTGGCAACGTCATTGACGTCTGTAATGCCCTGGCAAACGTGTATGAACAACTGGAACACCAACTGTACGTTTTCCCCTTTTCAGCTTTTTGTTTTGTTTTCGTCAATTCCTTTGCTCTCGTTCTTTCTGTTTTTCTTTCTCATCCTGACTTATCTACCTTTCTTTCCGAAATATCTTAGTGACAATTAGAACGTTTTTCTTAAAGAGAATAAATGAACAGTAAAAAAAACCCCAAACAAACAAAAGAAAAACAACAAACTAAAGCACCCCCCTACACAAAAGAAACCAAAACCGCATGACTTCCAGTACTCATTCAGTTATCTATAAAATACTAATTGGTCGCTTTGAAAGACAAACGGGCCAACCTAGATTTCAGGAGTTTCCAGAAATATTGACCTATACCAAAAGTAGGCATTGCACTACCTGTGGGAGAAGTTTGGTTTCATTGGTGTGTATATTTGTTTGGTTATGGAGAAAACTCTCCTTGTCTATGAGAGAACTGAACAAAGGTCCAAAAACTTTACCTTCGAATTTCTCAAACAGCATTTTTTTCGGGATAGCCCCCTTGTGCTTAAAAGCGACCAATTGTTGCTCTTTGGAAGAAAAGCTATAGTAAATATTTGACAAGAAAAAGCAGCCTCAGTATTTTGCTTTATATCATGGTTGTTGTTTTTTTAAAGCAAAGAGAAGAAACGTATTCTTTAACAGAAGAAAGAACTGAAGGATTCTACAGCAAATTAATTGATAATTACGAATACAATTGAATCAAACACATATTCATGACTGTCGTTTTTCTCGCCACCGAACACTGGATTGACCTGGCTAAGACATTCTAAGTGGTTGTAAGTTGTTGTAAGCATTTCACCCTCTGTTGTCACAATTTCAATCGCTAAGGTAGCGGGCTGCTTCAGTCTTACCTGTTAGAGCCAACACAAGCTGACTAGGATGCAACGTCCAAGCAGACAGATGGAGATACTCCATTTAATTTTTGGGGAAAAATCCTCCTCCTCTCGAAAATAGGCTGCATATCCTCAGCGTTCTATCACTTCATTACACGATTTAAGCTATGTCAAAGGGGACGTAACAAGTTTGTAATAAATCCATCATTCCTTCCTTTGGGTGTTTGGTGGGTGCTCTGATGAGGTTTGCTCCATTTTTCCCTATCAAAAATCTATCATCCCAATGTTTCCCTTTTCTTTTTTCATAGTTTAATCTCTCGTAACACCCCGAATCCTTGGGACTTATTATATAACATTTGTGTTACAAATACCGTAAAACACCTACACAAATTAAAACCAGACCAAACCACCCTTCCCCTTCAGCGTGCCGTATCGTGGACACGTCTGTAGACTTTTGCCAGAACCTGAGCCACCACTTCAACGCCAGCACGCCCCCGCCCTGCCCAGGAGACGGCACAGACTGCGTCCGGCCCAATGCCACAGCAACAGGCTACTGTCCCGGCAGCAAGAACCACACCATCGACTTCACAGCCAACTCCAGCACATCTACCGAGGAATATTTCTAGTAAGCTGGCGCTAAGTGGTCTTTACTGTGACTATGTGTTTCTCTTTTTTCTCTTTCTCTCGCTCCTGTTTGTCTTCCTTTTCCCTTGCGGGTGATTGGCAGAGGAATAATCCCAGCCTGACTCAGCCCAGTGACAGAAATAATCATGCAATGTTTGCCCCGTGATAAGAGATAATATGTGCATAACCTGTACACTTTCATAAAGGAAACCTTATTTAACAAATGGGTGTTTTATGTGGTGCAATGTGTGCCAATGGCTATAAACACTAAATAACCATACATTCAAACTTAATTTTTTTTTTTTCTATCCGTCCTGCTTGTTGACAGCACTGAATGTCCGTTATTATGCCGACGTGTTTCTCTTTCCTGAAGCTGAGCTGAGTTGTTTCATTTAAACTGGAACTTCCCTCTCTCCTCCCATCTGCTCCCCTCCCCCACCCTTCCCCCACCGCTTCCTACCCTCACACCCCTATCCTAACCCCCTCCCGTCCTTAGCCTGTCAGTCGTGCGTGTGTCCCAGGGCTGGAATGACGTAGGACAACTCCGCTGGCAGCTGGCCCTGTGTCTTCTCATGACCTGGACAATGGTCTTCCTATTTCTCATCAAGGGATGTAGGCCCGGAGGAAAGGTGAGTTTTAGAACGATGTGTCGTGTGTGGAGGGTGTCACTGGTTGGCTCTGCTTGTTTAAAAAAAGTTTGAGTAAAGTTTTGCATAGCTCGCAACTGCATAAGGTCATATGAGCGCCAAGGGGTGGATGTCTATAGAGAAGTCCAAACGGGAAATCAGGCTTACTCTGCTCACCCCTTTAGTCTTAATGCACAAATTCAGCTTTGACCATCAAGACACCCCGGAAATAGCAGTTCACAAGAGAGGGACAAGCATAAAAAGAGAAGTAGAGGATAAAATGACGATAGTAAGGATGAGGAATATCATGTTGTTCCGGCACAGTATGAGCATGGCATTGATAAATTAGCCCATTTACAGTTCTACTGTGCTTAAGAACATGTTAATATCCCCCTTTTGGGAATGGCCTTAAGACACTTCAGTCAGTAGCACTGACCTAGGTGGGTGCTCTGCATGGCTGAAGGTATGTCTTGGATCGGTGTGTTGTGAGATGATGTTACTGGTAAGCTCTGTGGAAAAGTGAGTCTTAGATCTGTGTATTGTGAGTGGAAGGTTGGAGGATGTCACTGTTACACCCAGTGGAAAGGTGTCTTAGGTCGATGTAATGTGGGTGGATGGTTTAAGGGTGTCACTGGTAGGCCCATTTGGAAGGTATGTGTCAGATTGGTAGCTGTGTTCATGGTTGGAGGATGCCACTGAAAGCCTCAGTGGAAAGGTGAGTCTTACATCAGTGTGTTATGGCTATGGAGAGGCTTAGCTTGCTTGTAAATGTTTTACGCCCCTAAGGAAAATAATAATAACAATGAAGACAACAGTGTTGATGCTACTGCTGCTACCGATGCTGCTTCTGCTGCTGCTGCTGCTGCTAATGATGATGATGATGTGGATGATGATGATGATGATGATGATGATGATGATGATGATGATGATGATGATGATGATGATGATGTTCACATAAAACAAATACAATTCAGAAAGAAAAATGAAACTATAATTATGAGTGTCAGTTGTATGTCTCACATGCCGCTGTTTTGGTCTCGTGATTTTAGGTCACCACGTGTAGGTACTATTTCTTTTATTACACTCTGCTGATTTTGTATGGCTGTGTTATTTTTACTTCACACTTGAATTACTTATTCTATCGATGTACGTCTCTTTACTATCAAAATTGAACTCATACCCAGTTTGCTATGTGGATGTTTGGAAGGTGCCACTGAGAGGTCCGTTTTTCTCTTTAGCTGCTGTTTCCATTTGCCACTCTTGCCTTTTTCCCCTTACATTAAATGACAGTTATGATGTTGATGTTCTTCTCTTTACTCAAACAATCAATTAACCAGCCAAACAAACAAACAAACAGATATATATATA